TGGGATCGCTCACCGTTTAGCATGTCCACATACACATCAACAGAATGATTTAGTAGAACGTAAGCATCGTCACATTGTTGAAGCTGGTCTTACTCTTTTGGCCCATGCATCTGTTCCGTTTCGGTTTTGGAGTGATGCTTTCACCACTGCATGCTTTCTTATCAACCGTACTCCCACTCGTGTTTTGAACATGAAGACTCCCATTGAAGTCCTTCTTAATGAACAACCGGACTACACCTTCTTCAAGGTGTTTGGGTGTGCTTGCTGGCCCATCTCCGTCCATATAACAAGCGCAAGCTCAAGTTTCGTTCCAAGAAGTGTGTCTTTCTTGGTTATAGCTCTCTTCATAAAGGATACAAGTGTCTTCATGTGCCCATTAATCGTGTCTATATATCTCGGGATGTCATGTTTGATGAGCATGTTTTTCCCTTTGCCAAACTCCCTGTGTCCACTGCCGAACCACCACCCATGCATTCATCCTTTGTTGCTTCTGACCAATTTGATGATGTTGCATATTCTCTTATATTGTTGCCTAATCATGGTCCAGGCACTGGTTGTGGGGCTCGTTTGGAGATTTTAGAGGCACCATCGCCTCCTTCGTCGTCATCGCCTTCCTCGTCAGCACCTTCAGTTGTGCACGACAATCATATGGCGCCACTGCATGGCCTTGGTCCCCGTGCCCATGCACGACTGATCGATGCCTCGGTCCTGTCGCCCGCTTCGTCGCCTCTGGCCTCGGGGCCGGCATCGCCGCGGCTTCGGCCCACGACCCCGGTCAGGCCAACGGCGTCTGGGCCGGCCTCGCCCGCCCCCGTCTCGCCTATGGCATCTGGGCCATCGCCATAGGGGCTGGCCTCGCCAAACTTGGCCTTCATCAACCCGTTCTGCGGCACCGGGCGCGAGACGAGCTCGGTCCTGCTGCCGAGCGCGAGACGAGCTCGGTCCTGCTGCCGGGCGCGAGACGAGCTCGGTCCTGCTGCCAGGTGCGAGACGAGTGATGGACCGCGGCGGGAAGGGCCAGCCCTTTGACGAAGATAGCGGCCGGACACCGCGAAGATGGCTCGAAGGTCGAATCAGGCCGCCTACAAACGAACGGTCGCCATAAATCCAGCCGCCGCCGTAGGCAACCCGCCGAGCCGCCATGGTGCCGGCGCGACGAATTGAAGCCTCCACCAGAGGGCTGAGCCGCCTCGCCGCCACCGCCCACAGCCGGAGCAGCAGCCACGTCGGGCCAGTGCCCCAACCCACGCCGCCCACCGGAAATTGCCAGATCTGGCCGGCGCGCACCGCCACCACCGCCACCAAGTTCCTGTTGCGCCGGTCTCCTCGCTGTCAGCAGCCGCCGCCCGACGTCCAGGGCGCCGGGACGCGCCGCCCGCAGCCCTCGCCGCAGGAGCCCCGTCGCGCCAGATCCGCTGC